GGTTTCTTGACCTCCCTTCCGGTGCCAATGGGCACTACTGCCTCTTGTGGAAAAATAGCACATTATTTCTTATGGCAGCTCAAATAGACTGTGATGCCAAACTCCCCCAAGCATCATAGACTGGTATACATGCACTTTTCACCTTTAAATGTCAGTTTCTCCCACATTCAGTACCATAGGGAAGGATTGCTGCCAGCCACCATGAGGAGCCCTGGAGGCAGAGGGTTTGGTAACTCCCGAGTCTTTATGGTGAAAACCCCTTGGGTGTAATACTCTACTTCTTTTTCTTTGCCATTTTTGTTCATTTCTCTTACTTTTGCCTTGCTCCTCTTACTTTAGAATAGAGATTCCGCTTATTCTTGTATGAAATGGCTGGCTTCAATTGTAAAATGGCTGCACTTGGAGAAGAATGAAAGTAGCCGGAAGAGTCTGACCTGGGAACCTACTTTTTTAAATCTTAAGATATTATTCTCTTAAGGGGTGCATAGAAATTATACTTTGCAAATAGTCAAAGGTGTTATTTCCTGTACTAAAATCCCATTTCATGCCTGTTTTGGCTCCAATTAAGCCCACAACAGGGACGTGGTGGCGCTGTGGGGTAAACCGCAGAAGCCTCTGTGCTGCAAGGTCAGAAAACCAGCAGTCGTAAGACTGAATCCACGCGACAGAGTCAGCTCCTGTCGCTTGTCCCAGCTCCTGCCAACCTAGCGGTTCGAAAGCATGTAAGAATGCGAGTAGATAAATAGGTACCACCTCAGTGGGAAGGTAACAGCATTCCGTGTCTAGTCGCGTTGGCCACGTGACCACGGAAACTGTCTACGGACAAACGCTGGCTCTGTGGCTTGTAAATGAGGATCAGCACTGCGCCCTAGAGTCGGACACGACTGGACTAAATGTCAAGGGGAACTTTTACCTTTACCTAAGCCCAAAACATAGGGACGTGGTGGCGCTGTGGGCTAAACCGCAGAAGCCTGTGCTGCAGGGTCAGAAGACCAAGCAGTCGTAAGATCGAATCCACGTGACAGAGTGAGCTCCCGTCGCTTGTCCCAGCTCCCGCCAACCTAGCGGTTCGAAAGCATGCAAATGCAAGTAAATTAATAGGGACCACCTTGGTGGGAAGGTAACAGCATTCCGTGTCTAAGTCTCACTGGCCATGTGACCACGGAAGATTGTCTTTGCACAAAACGCTGGCTCTATGGCTTGGAAACGGGGATGAGCACCGCCCCCTAGAGTCAAACACGACTGGACAAAAATTGTCAAGGGGAACCTTTACCTTTACCTTTAAGCCCAAAACATGGACAATCGAAGGGTTGTCATCAGTGATTTTGAGAAAATATATATTGGGACTGAATCTTTTGGATGCAGAGTGGATTTCTTATCCCATTTGATGTTTAGAAGGCCTGTGGGCTGGAATTGGTGGCCCACCATGTGATTTCTAATGGAAGAACAAGGAAGAATAAGCTTGAGAAAGTGTTACATCACTTGCAGGTTGAAAAAATTCAGGAAACACTACATGAATAAACCCTTCTTCTTTGTGGCTTCTCTGCAATTCTGGGAGTTCTGGTCTTAATGTCTGGGGCCTGAAAAGTCAGAAGATTCAGTTCTCTGCAACAATCCTATCCCAACTGACTCAGGACAAGTTTACCCATCTCTGTTCTTGATCTTGGCCAAGGATAACATTTTCCAATGGGTGAGGGGGGGGAGACACACACAGGCCACCAGAAACTGGTTATACAAGCCTGGCTGCACAAAGACAGCAAGCCAGATGTACTTGCCAGAGGAATGTACCCTAAGGGAAAATTACTTTAGGTAATGATTACAGCACTTGGGGATCTCTCCTGTCCCCCCCCCCCCCGCCGCCGCCTGTGAAGGAGGTCCTGGAGTGTGCCCTCCCCCCACAAGAAAGAGGGCGGAGAGGGAGTAGGGAAACCAGAAGGTGCGGATGTAAAGGCGGACCTAAAGGAGAACTTGACCATGAACAGGGCGAGAATGGAGCAAGGCGGGAAATTTCAAATATGTCTGGTGGAGGAGAGTGGGAGTCAGAAGAGGGAGGAGCAAGAGCTGTCAGTCTGGGAAGAGGGTATAAGTAGTCAGGGAGAGCAACAGTTTGAGGTCGAACTGGAGTTGTGGAAGTGTAAGAGAGAGCTAGAGAGGCTGTGGGAGTATGAGAGAGTAAAGACACTCTAGCTGCCTAGAGTGGTAATTGTACCAGATAGGTGGGGTATAAATAAAATAAATACATAAATAAGTTGTTACGGGATTTTCCGAAACTTTAGGGGGGTTGCTACCGGACCCCACCCCAAAAGCAGGAGAGGTGAGACAGGAGTTGCTGGAATGCTCTGTCATAGTATTCCCTAAGAATATAGAGGATGTCAGGTGATCCACCCGGATTCTTGATACAACACACCTCCCCCCCACCCCCGAGGGAGACTGGGCCCGGCACCCATGCTGTGGCACCATTTGTGCGATGCAGAGTGCTCCTCTCCGGAAACCCACTGACGCAGATAAGTTTGGCCCAGCATCCCTGTGAGTTTGATGGATGTGGGGCCGGAGTTCGTGTTGGACAGTTACTGCCTGTTGCCTGAGTTAAGCCTTTTTGATCCAATTATGAACAATATCGATCAACATGTAATCAATAAAGATGAAATTGTTAAGGTTGAGAAAATGTCTCCTGTGACATTTCACGTGCAAAATGAGTTGTCAAAATGTGAAACTGAACCCGATCACACACACACCCTCTACACACACACACCCTTTAAAAAACTAATATTGTATACTGGTTTTCTCAACTTTGGATCCCCAGATGTTAATTAAAACTCCCAGAAGCCTCTGCCACTAGATGTGCTGCCTAGGATTTCTGGGAGTTGTAGTCCAAGAACATCCAATGACCCAAGGGTAGGAACTACCAGTATGTCTCTACCCACATTAAACAGGTTAAGATAAACGAGGGATCTGAAGAGTGCCAGATATTCAGTGTCCTGATGATTTGCAAAAATACAAATTAAAAAAGTAACAAAAGTTACATACCAGCCAGGAAATTCAGATTAGGTACATTCATTCCCATTGTTCTTTTAAAAATTTCAACTTTATATTTCCCTTTATCTTAAGTCTTTCATCTTGTGTATGGTTTTCCTTTTATTGTCAGCAACACTGATTTTTTGGGTGTGTGTATGTGTTTAAACAACTGACCAGTCTCACCAGAATTGTTCTCCTCTGTCTGCTATTCTTGACTGGCATGTTTTTAAAAAACAAGTCCAAAATGTAGAATGTTTTTGAGTGTTTAATACCTCTGCATCCCGGCTCTATTCCAAGAACTGACAGCAATGTTTATTTATCCTCCTCATAAGCCATTTAAGCAGGGCGGTCAAGAGAAAAGAAGCTGGCCCTTTGTCACCTGGTGAGGTCTGTGGCCAAGCAAGAATTTGGACAGTCTAAGCTAAGCCAGCAATCCATCTGTGATGCCACACCAATGCTTCTTCCCTCAACAGCCTGCCCCTGTGTTGTTTTGATTAGCTCATCCTTGTGCCACCAAAAATATCACCTGCCCCGTCACCATCTTCTTACTCAGCCCTGAATCACCAAGGGAGTTGGTGGAATGCACAGGGCTAAGGTAGACACATGATGCCCCTTGTTATGTAATTCCCATACTGGCTTGGATTCTCAGACAGCAGGAAACCGACTATTACAGAACAGAAATGGACTATTGCAGAATATATTGGCTTTTATCTAACAAGTGAAGAGTTAATTGACCATTTACATGGCAGCCCAATTAGACATGTTCAAGAACGGAAGCTAGTCTTTAAACAAGCATCTGTTCTCAAGACTTGACGTAGTTATTTCCAGTTATGAAAACATGACTTGTCCCGTCACAGAACTGGGCATGAGAGGGGAGTGTTATCAATGCTATTCAAAAACCCTAGCCTAGTGTCTCCTCTGCCATCCAGAGCCTTCAATTACCTGGCTCTATCAATCTCAAAATTGACCAGTTGCATTTGAGTCTAGCATAGTGTGTTAAGAAGAAAATGTAATAAGCTTGTCTATGGGCTTCACATTCTTGGCTGTGCTAGAATTTGGGTAGATTTCTTCTCTGCAAGCTTTATTACTGCTCCAAAACCAGGAGAAAATACAGAAGCAGGTCTCCCAAATCCTCAAAATACAAAGCACAGAATTTTGTCAGATCAACAAGGCATGCCAAGGTGATTCACAGAGGCCACGAAGAAGAACCACATGCAAAAAACTAGCATGTCAGGGATAAGCATTCCAGATGCCTTTCTTGCCGACACAAATAGACTCTTAGCAGCCACAGCACGATTTGAACCCGCATGCAAAAAACTAGCATGTCAAGGATAAGAATTCCAGATGCCTTTCTTGCTGACACAATTACCCCCTCACATATTACAGAAGTAGAAGGGAGAGGGGATGGCAAAGTGAAATTTTGCCTCTGCCATGTCAAGTACTGTACACCAGAAGTTGAATACAGTTTCTTCTCTAGACCATTCCTGTTGAATGTCAGTCTTCTTAAAAATGGTGGCCGATGCTTTAACTACCACTAGCAATATTTTGATTTTGTAAGGAAAGCCTTCTATAATACAGAAATTTTTCTTTATATAACTGTATTAAGCACTGCTGCCAGAAAATGTCTAACACAGAGATTCAAGACTTCTTTTATCTTGCTCAGTGCCACACCGCAAGTGAAGAAATTACTGTGTATTTTTCCTGAAACCCGTTTCTGCCAAAGATAACTGTTTTCCACTAAATGCCCATGTGACAGGCTTCTCCAAAGTTAAATAGGTGGTTGGTGTGGGGTTTTTTTGTCTTTCTTCTCCCGCATGATTGGTGAACTGTGCTTTTACTTAACAAAACATTTTACATACCCTTGGTGTTTCTAGATTTAGTGTATAAAAGTCAAACCAGATAAATTTTCAGAATTGACTGAAAACATATTTATTATTCAAGTTTCCCACCCCTCCCCACCCACCATTCAGACACGACTAAAACAGTTGTTTTAAATGTACGGGATTACTTCCAAGTACAGTCAACAGAAAATTTAACAGAAAGGAATACAAAGTTTGTACACAAAGCAACAAGGGATACACAAATTTAGGACAAAGTTAGACATCTTACAAAATAAAAAAAGTTTATAAATTCACATGGTCTGGGATCCTATACAGGCTCAATACGGTCTTTCACGGCGATCCTGTCTGTGTTCCCCTCTGTAAGATAAGAAAATGTTTTCGTTCAATGCTCTGCAGAAACCTCCACAACTGGACAACAGCAGAAAAAGACTATTTACCGTATTTTTCCATGTGTAAGACTATACTTCTGTCTAAAATATTTAGACTAAAAATTGAGGGTCGTCTTATACACAGAAATAAGCTGAAGAGAGAACAAAAACAAGTGGAGGGGAAAGCAGCGATCAAAGCGATCCTGCAGCACTTTGATCCCTTTCTCCTGCACTTGCTAAGCCCCACTTAGAATTCTTAATTTGGGATTAGAAGTGGTCGGTGTCTTATACATGGGGGTGTCTTATACACGGAAAAATACGGTGTATCTGTCTATAGATACATAATAGATACGTACACACACACACAGTCAAAGTGGAAAGCCCAAAGCAAAGGCCCACAAAATTCAGCCTCTCCCAGACTTTTATCCAGAAGCAAAAATACAATTTTTGCCTCATTTAATGTCTCCATTTCTACAACAGAAGTCTGTTGTTGAAAATACATACCTGGAATCCATTTTTCCTGGCCCAAAGTTGCCCCTGTCTCCGCCTCTCCCACCTCGGAAGCCGCCTCGATCACCTCCTCGTCCTCCACGGAAGCCGCCTCGATCAAAGCCTCCGCGGCCTCCGCGCCGTTCTTCACCAAATCCTCCTCCTAGGCAAGGGACAACAGGATTGAATATTACACACTGTACTGAAACAAAGACGCCCGAGGAAAGGAAGTACAACTCCTTCCTTCCCTATACAGAGGTGTCTCGCTAGACAGTTATCCCGCATGACAGTTTTTTTCGCTAGACATTGACTTGTTGCGATCGCTATAGCGACTCACAAAATAGTGATTCCTATGGGGGAATTTCGCTGGACAATGTTTGGTCCCTGCTTTGCAAACAGATTTTCGCTAGACGATGATTTTGACAGCTCCCTCCGCGCTTGCACAACAGGTGTTTTCGGGACCTAAGCTTCGCAAAGACAGCGATTTAAACAGCTGATCTAGCGAGGCACCACTGTACGTGACTAGGAAGAAACCTCCTCCGTGTTATCAAAAGAGCTACTATAGTCATTCAATCTCAAACAGCATCCCACCAGCCGCTTTCTACTCACCCATATGTGGGCCCCCAGGGCCATCTGGCTTTGGTGCTTTACACTGGTTGCACTCGTTACGCCAAGAGAAATTCATGTTCTCGCATGTTCTACGACAATCAAAAAACAAGGCAAGGACTTTATTAAGAAAGTTTAACAAATATGGTTCTTTTTTAATAATATTTTCTATAACTATAACATAAGCAAAAACATATACATATAACATATTAACTCAAATACAATAACTGTTCCCCACCACCATGTACGGGACCTCTTGCCATATTCTTTCTCTTCCTCCTCCTCCTATTGTCCTCTTCTCCAAAACTGCATTGATTCTTGATTTGGAGCTTTCCCTTTCCCCCTTATTAGCACATATTCCAAAAATTTGCCCCATATTTCATAAAAATTATTCTTTTTCAACTCTTTCTTAATCTTTAAATTACAATTTATCATTTATTGCTATAGACTATATTTCTTTGTACCATTCTTCAATTTGCAATTCAGTTTTTAATTTCCACTGCCTAGCAATAATCAATCTAGCTGCTCTTAATATATTAGTTATCAATTCTTTAGTCATTTTGTCATATTCCACATTCTCATATATTGATAACAAAGCAATCTCGGCATTACATTATATATCTTTTCCACACATATAGCTTAATTCTTTAAAAATAGCATGGGAACAAGACACTGGAAAAAGAATAAATGAAGAAGAATGGAGAAAGATATGGAAAATGAGGGTTTTAAGATTTATGTCAGTGAGAATAAGGGAATTTTTTTTAAAAACTCAGTTTATGATGGTATTTAACACCCTTAAAATTAAACAAGATTAATGCCAATCATCCGCATGTCTGTTGGAAATGCGAGAAAGAAATTGGTACGTACTTTCATATGCGGTAGGAATGTGAAAAAGTGCAAAGATTTTGGAAACAAATACGGTTCTGACATGTTTGCTTTCTACTTCCACTCTACTACCCAAATTATTACGTAGCAGGCTACTTACGGATTCGGGCATTTCCAGTCCCCTGCACGTTGCTGGCCACCTCCTCCACTGGGAAAGCCACCCCTGCTGCCTCCACTGGAACCACTGTTGCTCCCACCTCCACCACCACCAAAGCCACCACGGCCCATGGGTCCTAGGGAAAAAAGGCACTTAGTCACTGGCCACCACCACCAGCTAAAAGGAACATTTGAAAAGCACTTTCTTGTTGATGGTTCTGTCGCACGTCACAGACACAAGCACACTCCAACCAAACACAAAATGACGTTCTACTCCACCAAGCAGAATTCAGTACCCATGTCATTTCTTGCATTCCACAGCACAAGCTGATCCTCCTCTCACTTGGTCCACCATGACCAGAAATTCCTTCTCTCAAGTGGAAACACAGCCGAGAAAGGGCACCAAAACCCAATTCTATTCAAACCAGACACTCCACTACATTTCAGAATCAACAAAGACCCACGGTACAGACCTCCTCTTCCTCCACGGCCTCTTCCTCCACGGCCATTTCCACCACCTCGGTTAAAGTCTGCCCTTCGAGTGGCAAATGAAACTTTGATAGGGTTGCCCGAGAACTCCTTCCCTATTGACAGAAGAGCAAAAAGAACTCATTTTCCATTTTAAAAACACGGTGTGAATAGTTTCACTATTCACATTCCCCCTTACTACACCTTATAGTTCTTTTATTTATTGGATTTCTATCCTGCCCATCTAGACCAAAAGTCTACTCTGGGCAGCTGACAAATTTAAAAACAATTAAAACGAAAAACATATTATAGGTCCAGGACGGCGAAGTATAAGAAATTAAGATATGGCAGGAGGGAAAGCCTGCCCAAATAGTCAGGTTTTAAGTTTATTTTCCCTTCCCCACCACCTGAGGTACGTAATGTGCAGCTCCTTTTCAAGTTCAACCCACACAAGAAAAAAAGTCAAAACTAGGAATATACCATCAAACCAATCGATAGCAGCTTTCGCAGATGGGGGATCATCAAAAGAAACTGTGGCCTCTCCCTTCAGTTTTCCTGTCTCCCGGTCTGTGTACAGATTAATCATTGGTTGCCCTGTCTTCTTGTTCGTCTATAAAGAAACAATGTATGAATCTCTGGAAAACTAGATTATTGTGTAATATCTACATATGGAAAAATACTACTTTTAACTGTTGAGATTACATTGTAATTCAATACTATCTGAAAACCGATGCAAAACATGGAAAACTATTAGCTGCTGAACACACACCTTCAGAGACTTGATATAGCAAAGTATCTCCAGAATCCTATTTTTCTCATCTAATGCTCATTATTGTATCATGTTCTTTTCCAGAAAGGAATACAGAATAATTCACAAAATTAAACCCTCTTGGAGATTAATCTTCTGAAAGGCACACTGATAACCAACTTAGCTCACCTTGATAATGCCAATCTGCTTGAAGTAGTCCGCTACCGATTCAATAGTTACATTTTCACCAAGTCCCTGAACAAAAATGGTGTTGTTGTCAGAATTATCCTGCTCGCCAGCTGCAAGAAAAAGAAAATAATATTGTTATTTCTTTCTAGCAGGGCTTCTCCTTACTTCTCTCAAAGAGCTCCATGCAGTCTTACCAACAAACCCTGAACATTACAGTGTTCCTTTTCCAAATGATGAGGCACACCTTTGACTATGTCTGTTTCATACATTCTACTCAAAGTTCGAAGTGGAAGTACCCACATTCCTCAGTTGCCCAAAATGCTGACCTTCAAATCTACGTAGTATCCTTCATTTTTCACTGTATCCAACGTTTCTCGTTTTCAACCCAATGGATCTTGTGAACTTTATTATTTCCTACACTTAGAATACTTTATGCATACTGAAGCCTAAAGACATCCTCCAGTATTCGTACCCTTATGTTCAATGCAAAATATACCCACCATTAATGATCTTAAACCACCTTCGCCCACGTTCCAACATCAATCTGAATGTGAAACTACTCAAGCAGCCACATACCAGAATCATGGCGTGATCCTTGGTCCCGTGGTCCTTTTGCACATGTAAATAAGGAAGAAAACATTCAGTTACTGAATGAGAATTTCCAACTGGTTTTCTCACATCAACAGGACCATCACAGTCACATTAGAAACAGGCCAGTGTTGGAACATATGCAGCCTCAGGATTATTTTCAAGTACAAAAGAAACACTCTCATCCAGTCAGAAATGGTCCATTTCTTAATGACGCATTCTTGCAAAAACCTGTTTACCATTATTTCTTCCAGGCCATCCTGGACTTGGTTTCTGCAGCTTTGCAGCGAGGAGCATGGCCTCCAAGACACATGTTTGAAATACCATTGGACAACCACCTTGAAACATCTATTTTGATGTTTTCTTTCATGGCATACATTAGCCACCTCTGCCCAAAGAGTCTCTTATTGACCCCTGATCAATCTAAGCACCGTAAAATTTCTAGAGAGATTTCATTCTATTCTTGAATTCATTTCATGATGTAAGACACTTGCAAAACTTTTAGTTGTAGAGAACAAACCACCTTACACCACAGAACACCTTTAAAACAAGCCCTTTACAAAGGAGAGCTCTGCATTTTTATAAACCGCCAGGTTATTTACCTGTTGTCAACCATTCCATTAATAACATTCTGTATGTAAGTTTTTTTTTTTTACCATTTTGACATCTCTTAATTTTTTGAAAGCGTATGCCCAACACTGGTCTCAAATGCATTTAAAATTCCACGCGCGTGTTTTAAAAATACCCATGCCAAGCCTTTTTCAGCAAACCCTATGGGAACTTTTCTTAAAACCAATTATTTTGGTTTGGTACACTGAAGTTCAAAAAAAACGAGACCTTTTGTGAAACTTCACAGGTTGAAACCAAACTCTCTTAAACAGAAGCCCATGAAACCGCTTTCTTGTCAAACAGCTATTTAGAGTTTCATACAGACAATATAATACTCAAGTTTGAAGGGAGTGGTCCCTCTCATGTTATTTCCTGTACCAGTAACTTTTTGAACAAGGTACCATACAGCTTTGTTTTACCATGTTTCCTCAGAATTGCATGCACTTGATTAACACACTTTAACCCAACAGTCGCACGTGTGTTTTCAAGAAGGGGCAACACACTAACCCAACACTTACAAAGTGAATTTTTCATCACGTACTCCCAACAAAATGCAAGACTTAGGGATTGTACTCTCCTTGTCTTGTTGCAAGACATACAACCAAAATATACTGTATTGGCACCAAATTCTAGGCCGAGTGCAATGCTCCAGAACATGGAAATCAGCACCACAGACAGAACCAACCATTTTGGCATATGTGCCACAACAGGGGGGTTGCTCCCATAGGTTTTTATCTGATAACGGTGGCTTTTCTTTTTTTTGGCATATAAACAAGAGTCTCTGAAAATCAATATATAGAAATACACTTTTGCGGTTCAAGTTTGTGAACTCTTTGGACTTACCACCAAATTTATTGAAGCCACCACCTCGCTCACCACCGCTGAGGAGATAAGTTAGAAGATAATGATGCTTTTTTCCATGACTAAAAAGGTTTGTTGCTAGAAACTACACCACATCCTTTAAGACGCTGGCCAACACTTATGTTTGGTTCTTCTTGAAGATCTAAATACAACCTGCTCCACCTTTTCCTTGCCCTCAGCATTTTTTAAAAAAATATTATTATACCCTTGAGAAGGTTTGCAAGTGAAACAGCTCTAGTATTTAGTCATTCTTGCTTCTGATCTTGAACCGTTTACAGGAGTCTTGATGCAGCTTTTGAGACACTGTTGATTTCCTTGTAGCCGTCCTATTCGTGGTATGACTGGCGAACCAAGCTTGTTTTTAAAATATTGTACACCGTGCACGCTGTATTTCCAGTTCACCCTTCTCAAGTATGAGTTGATTTTGCCAAACTTTTGTTATTTAAAACCCTAAATGCAGATATCTGCTTTGAAAGCATGTAAAACACCCATTCCCTTGTAATTGTGTACTCGTAAATAGGTTATTTCAACTCTAAAGACTGTATCTGCCTGCCATAAGATCTCTCTCCCTTCCTCAGACCCTTAACTAACATGTGGAAGGTGGAGATTTGATTAAAGTTCATTGACTTTCACACCTGTGGCACACAAAATGCAGAATTTGTTAACAGAGCAGGTATTGTTAACAGATCAACAACTTTTCACAAGCAAACAACCCTTCAGCTGCCCCCACCTATACTCACCTCTAACTTTTCTCTCCCAGCCAGCAAGAGCCAATCTAGTCAATGTTGCTTAGCAACCACTGCCTCTTGAACACCATCTTTTAACTACCCCTCCTCAAAAATGAGGCAGTACATACACCCAAGAGCATACTGCTTTGTTGCACATAAACCACAAGTACAAGTAGTCCACAGCTTCTCTACAGAAAACCAAAATGCATTTTTAGCCTATTATCACCATCTGTTATATGGCTAGACCACAGAATTCTCACCCCAAGAAAAAGTAGCTTATAACCTGCCTAGAAAAAATTCTCTTGCTGGAGATTCTTACCACACCTTTGGTAAGCTATCAACATATAAAACCAGGCCCCCTCAGTGAATCTCCATCAGGTTTACATTAGGATGTATTACCATCAATTTCTTCTCCATAAAAAGTACTGAAACTCTTGTATGTATTGATATACAACTGCAACTTGGCTCAAATAGGACCATAATTCACATTTGAGGAACAGTACTTATATTCACATTAAGTATGCATTTGATGCTGTAAAACCATCCTCCTAGAAGCAAAATGAAAGTACATTCCCCACCCCTGGCATAGCCTTGTTACTGTAATGGTCGATTGTCAGAAAGGAAAGTTTTAACTCCTTCACATGCAGACAAAGAACATACAGTCTTCTTGACATCCATTAAAAAAGTCCATCCCAAGGGGGAAAACACACATTCTGACCTCAGTAACATAAACAGTATTATTCCCCCTCCTCCCATTTAATAATAATAGTGATTTACACACTGTACCCTTCCCAGAAGAGGTTAGGTTTTTAATAGCAAGTAACAGGCAAATTATTATTAGAAGAAACCCACTCCCTCTCCCACAACAAGTGAATAGACACCTACCCCATGCCTCCACGACCGCCTCTGTTGCCACCTCTACCGCCACTTCGATCAAAGCCACCTCTACCATATCCGCCACTGCCACCTCCTCCACTGCCTCGGCCACGATTGCGGTCTTGCTGGCCCCCATATCCGCCTTGATCCTGGCTGCCATAGCCACCTCCAGTCCCACTTCCACTCATGGACGACTGATCCTGGCCATAGCCACCAGCTACGGAAAAACAACAGCACTTAAATTACACAGACGCAACTCCTGGTTTCTGGTAGCAAACAGGCTGGGTGTAATTGCTTATCCTCCCACTAGGCGGCAGTCATGAGCACCTACGGACTGCACCGCTTTTTGTCTCTACTACTCATGTTGCTTTAAGGAAAGAAAACATACTTACGTCCACTACCACTGCCTCCTCCACTGCTACTGCCGCTGCCATACTGACTCTGCTGGCCGTAGCTTTGGGGTGGGTTGTAGGAAGGCTGCTGCCCATAGGAGCTCTGCTGTTGGCTGCCATAGCTTGACTGCTGGCCATAACCCCCACTTTGGGGTTGCCCATAGCTGGAGGTTTGAGAGCTGGAACCATAACTGTGTTTAAAAAAAAGGCATAGAAAATATATTGAATATCCAACAACTCACTGTGCCTGTTGAAAGCCTAACAAGTTAAGATGCTGCTAAAAAAATCTAACCTTGCTGCCGGAAAGAGCAAAAAATGGATTCAAGCACGACATGTCAGCTAGATTACGATGTGCAAAGAAAATGTAATATAAATGGACACAATGTAGAAATGATCAGCATCTACTTCTTTCCTGTGTGTTACCTTCCAGTGGTGGAGCTGGCTGGCTGCTGGGAGTAGCTGGGATATGATGACTGCTGCCCGTAAGACGCTTGTGAAGTCTGACTGCTGCCGTACCCTGTTGATGAGCCATAAGCCTGTGGTGTCGACTGAGTGCCATAACCAGCTGTTCAGAAACAATTCATTCTTATTAGATCTTTGCCTGCACGCAGCTTGTGAAACGATAATCATTGCAATCACATTTTGAGTTGTAATTTATAATTCAACTTAACAATGGAGCAGTCATACAAAGCCTACTGGCAAGGTAGGAAACAGGAAAGGTTCCATTACACTTAGATCCAACTGTGATTTTCAGAAAACCCTCAAATTCGAATACAGTCACTTATCATATTGTCTAATTTGACTGGTTCATCTAACCCTGCCTTATCAGAGTGAGTGGGAAGAGCAGTCACACCCAAGACATGTTGCTCCAAACTGCAGAAAATATGTGTTTGCCATCTAACTCTCCAAAAAAAGGCCTGCTTCTGCCTATTAGCTGCAATGATAGGACTCACAAACGATATATAAAGCAATACTCACAGCTTTGAGTCTGGCCGTAAGAAGAACTGTAACTACTCTGGCCATATCCAGACGTATCTGCTGACTGTCCATAACCACCATAGCTCTGCTGCCCATAAGGCTGGCTCGTTTGTTGAGAATAACCCTGTGTGGGTGGTGTTGGGTACATAACTTAACAGCAAAAAAAAAAAAAAAAAAAAAAAGCAAGAAGAAACATTCAGCCAAGGAAGAAATCTGTTTCCACAGTAAACTCCCAATCTGCATTTTTATCTGAAGCTAGGTCAAATTCTTCCCATATCTGTTACCATTCTTTTTTAAAGCATACTCATGCTAGAAACCTTTCTCTGCAACTATTCCCATCTATATTTTTTTTAAAAAAACATAAGGTATAGTATGGTTACAAAGCTTGGCAATTTTGGATGCTTTATAGATCCAATTAATAGATTTTGAACTGGGAAGGTTAATGATGGCTCCAGAATTGGAAGCACTATGAAACAGAATACTGTATGCCAAAACTTTATAGGTCCAGTTTTAAGTTATCTATGGACAACTCTTCACAGGTTTCTAAACACTGTTACCATTGCAATACATTTTATAAACACACTTATAATGGCTTGGGAGAAGCCTCTCCCAATTTGAAGAGGCACTTGTTCAGCAGGCCGAGGCAAAGAGGCAGTTCTGAAAGCAGCAAAAGTAGGGAGCAGGATAGGAGACAGATTGTATTTGTCTTCAGTGTGGAACGGATTGCCACTCTCGAATTGGCCTCCTCAGCCACACTAGATGCTGTTCCAAGTCCTCTTGCCACAGTCCAGCGATGGCGAACCTATGGCACATGTGCCACAGCTGGCACGCGGAGCCCTTTCTACAGGCAAGCGAGCTGTAAGTCGCCGGATCGCTACTTCCTCCTGGCAAGTGCCACAGCTGGCACGCGGAACCCTTTCTACAGGCACGCGAGCTGTAAATCGCCGGATCGCTACTTCCTCCTGGCAGTGGATCCGGAGTGGGGTTTCGAGGCACCTCCGTGCCTGGGAATCTTCCTTCTGCCGCCACTTCCGGTTTCGCTGCCATTGCAGCATACCGCCCCGTTTGGTCCCCCCCAGTTTGGTCACACAAGCCCAAAAAGGTTTGCCACCACTGCCATAGTCTCTTGAGACTGAAGGATGCCTACTATAATGGCTTATAGCCAAAACTCAAGACTAGAGATATACATGTACTCCTGGTTTGGTGTCGTTCATTTCCTAGCCTAACAGCTCACCCATGGTTCAACATCCCACCCCCTCCAGTGGGTGACCCCCCCTTGGCAGCAGTGTCTAGATGTAGTGGGTGCTGGCGTTGAAGGGCTCTCACCAGAGGGGGCGGCGCACTGAACCATGGATCAGCTGTTTGCCAGGAAATGAACCACGCTGAACTGCCAAACCAGTAGTTCATGCCCATCTCTACTCCGGACCTAAATTTAATCTTGCCAAAACCCACAAGACTGATCTGGCAAATATATATCTATTTTCCTCAGACAGCCAGTAGAACCTCAATGCTTTTACCAAAATCACAAGTGTGACCTGCTTCAGTATTACAGAAATAGGAGAAGCACTGTTCACATACTCTTACAACAGACCTATACTCTGTACTACATACAGTACAGAAAAGCAGATACAAAACTATGAACATGCCCTTTATGCAAAAATTAAGTAATCCAAGAATTACCTCTGTGTTGCTGACTGGCTGTAATCTGCAAAGACAAAAACAAAACAAAACATTAGAACTATTACAAAACTGCCCATACATCTCAAAGGTGACTAATTACCGTGTTTCCTCAAAAATAAGACAGGGTCTTATATTAATTTTGCTCCAAAAAACGCATTAGGGCTTATTTTCAGGGGATGTTTTATTTCACAGTCATGTCATCTTCTGGTTGCTGCACAATGGTGGAAGGTGGGATTTCATTTAACTGGGGTTTATTTTTGGGGTAGGGTTTATATTACAAGCATCCTGAAAAATCATACTAGGGCTTCTTTTCAGAATAGGTCTTCTTTTGGGGGGGACGTGGTGGTGCTGTGGGCTAAACCGCAGAAGCCTATGCTGCAGGGTCAGAAGACCAAGCAGTCGTAAGATCGAATCCACGCGACGGAGTGAGCTCCCGTCGCTTGTCCCAGCTCCCGCCAACCTAGCGGTTCGAAAGCATGCAAATGCAAGTAGATAAATAGGGACCACCTCAGTGGGAAGGTAACAGCGTTCCGTGTGTAAGTCTCACTGGCCATGTGACCACGGAAAGATTGTCTTCGGACAAACACTGGCTCTATGGCTTGGAAACGGGGATGAGCACCGCCCCCTAGAGTCGAACACGACTGGACAAAAAAAAATGTCAAGGGGAACCTTTACCTTTTACCTTCTTTTGGGGGAAACAGGGTAGTCTTCCCAGAGTAGGAAACGCCTCATATGCGGTTGAGATGCATTTGCTGCCTTCAGATACCCTGTTTCCCTGAAAATAAGCCCTAATAT